GGCCGTAGTACGGATAATCATCGCCGGCGTGGTAAAAATTGTCGATCAGGCTTTCTGGGCTGATCCAGGCGTAGGTGAAGGTGGCGTCAAACTCGCCGAAGCCCATTGCCGGTCGAGGTGGGGGATAGGGCCTCAGTCCGGCGTTGAAGGCCGCCTGCTCAGTGGCGTATCGAATCAGCTCGTAGTTGGTCTCGTCGAGGACTAGTGGCGGAGTTCTGTGGATGGCCCGGTTTCTGTTGATAGCCGCTGCTAGTCGTACTTGGTAGTCGTGGGTGCAGACTTTGTTGTAGCCAAAGTCATCGTACTGCAGACTGCTGTCCACGGAAAGGCAAATTAAAAGAAAGAGAATTGAGAAGATCATTGTCAGTTTTTTAAATGAAATACATTTCTGGGAAAATTGTGTTATCTTATATTCAATTTTTTTTAGTTATTGCTCATTTGGTTTTCAAGGTCCTCTTTTTTTAGTAGCCGCCTTCGAGACATTGTGATACAGGTTTTTTGCAGTTTTGCCTTGTCAGGTAAAGGTTGAGTTTTAATTTTGATGCAGTTTTTTTACTGTAATTAAGCTTTTAATTGATTTTATATTAATTTGACTTTGATTAAAACTAATTTAAAAAATTAAAATGATTCAGTAAAACATTTTGTTTTATTTAGTACAATCAATGAGTGGACAAATCAATTAAATTTAATTTAACTTTTTTAAAATTGAGTTTTCTACTCAGTTTCAGAAGTTCCCAAACGATGTTTTGGAGGCTGTACATTCTCGGCAAATTGCCCCCTGACATTGCCCGGCGGCACAAAAGCGGCCACCAGGTAGCGGAAACCTCCTGAATCGGAGCACCCAAAGGTAACCTGTTGACTAGCCTTCCAGAGCATCTGCGTGAAAAAGACGTACTTTTTCAATTCAGTAGCATTGGGCGGATCTCTGCCGTAGTACGGGTAGTGGTCGCCGATGTGGTACATCTCATCGGCTTCAATGGCGGCACTTCTACTGCGGTTTAGGTCGGCGTAAAACTCGCTGAAATCGATGGGCGGCCGAGGTGGCCGGTATCCCCTTCCGGCCAGGAAGTCAGCCATCTTTTGAACGTACTGGGCCAGGTTAAAATTGTTCGGGTCTAGGAGTAGATTCGAAGCCTGGTGGTACGACCGTTTCTGGTTCATTTCCTCTACCAAACTTTCTTGGTAGGAAGAGTCGCAGGCATTGGGTAAATAATCGGCAGAGTCCGCAAACTGCAAACTGCTGTCCAAGGTGGAGATAGAGGCTAAAAGAAGGAGGAAAATAGAGATGAATAAAATCATTTTTGCAAGTTTTTTAAATGAAGTGCTTTTTTCCTAGTAAAAATGACTCTTTTTATATACAAAAATTTTTTTAATGGTATACACACATTTAACATCACAAACCATTTCATCGAAAACCTTTTCACTGTAAAAATAGCAAACTGCAATATTAAAAGTTGCTGCTATTTTGAATGCTTTTATTGACAACATTATAACATCTTTCCTAACTGTTGTTCAATACAATCGAAAGCAAAACAATAAACCACTTGTTGTACATTACATTACATTACATTTCACTGCTCAGTTTCAGAAGCTTCATCATGATGACGCGGGCGCAGTACATTGTCGGCAAACTGCCCTCTGACATTGCCCGGCGGCACAAAGGCGGCCACCATGTAGCGGATGCCTCCTGAATCGGAGCACCCAAAGGTAACCTGTTGACTGGCCCGCCAGATCATCTGCGTGAAGATACCGTACTTCTGAAACTCAGTAGAGTTGGGCGGATCTCTGCCGTAGTACGGGTAGTGGTCGCCGGTGTGGTACATCTCATCGACTTCCAGGTCGGCACTGCTGCTGACATTGAGGTTAGCGTAGAACTCGCTGAAATCGATGGGCGGCCGAGGTGGCCGGTAGCCCTTTCCTGCCCGGTAGTCGGCCATCTGCTGCGTGTATTCGGCCAGGTAATAACTGTACGGGTTCAGGAGTAGATCAAAGGCGTAGTGGTACCACCGTTTCTGGTTCATTTCAGCTACCATACTCTCTTGGTAGTTTAAGTCGCAGGCATTGTAGCCAGTGGAGTTTGCTTGCAGACTGCTGTCCACCGAGAAAGAGGCTAAAAGAAAGAGAATAGGGAAGAAAAATATCATTTTTGCTAGCTTTTTTGTTCTTTAAAATGAAGTACATTTTGGTAAAGTTTTTGTGTCATTTTATATCTAAATTTTTCGGCTATTGGTCATGTGATTTGCAAGGTTTTGCTTCAGTAGCACTTTGAAATATTGTGTTTAGGTTTTTGCCTTCAAGGGATTCAAGGTTTTGTCAAGTTTAATAAAGTTTAAATTTTAATTGTTTTTTAAAGTAGCATTTTAATTGCTTTAAAATTTAAATCAATTTGCTGCTTTTATTAATTTGACATTGTTCTCAATTTTTTTTTAAAATTAAAAGATGTTGCATTTCAAACAAAAATTTTATTTTATAATTTTAAAAAAATTACAAAAAGTATTTACTACAATACAAGTTTTTTTGTCAAGTAAAACCGTTTTTTATTTAGTATAATAAATGGCTAAAATAGCCTAGAATTTTTAAAATTTTTTTTACTCAATTGCAACTCAGAGACATTTTTTTGTCTTTTTTGCCCTAAGGACGCGGCGGCAGTACATTTTTCGCAAACTCTCCCCAGATGTTGCCCGGTGGCACAAAGGCGGCCACCAGGAATCGACGGCCGTCGCCTGCATCAGAGCAGCCTACGGTAGCGTTTTGACTGG